GCATAGATAACTGGCTAACATATAATAACACATTTTAACATATATGCTATTTGGTTGTATATACATAGGTTACCTCTGGAAAGCTACATAAAAAAATTGGTTAACAGTGAATTGCCTTTTGGGAGATCTTGGTGGGTGGATAAAAGGAGGGAGATCTTATACTACATTCCCTTTTGCACCTGTTAAGTACTTAAACATGTAAATATGTTAATTAACATATATATGCAAATATACAAATGTACATCCTTTAAAAATTTTTGTATATCATCTGATGGGATCAGATCCAACTACAATATTTGTAAATTTCAAGTAACAGTCTATATTCTGGGTTTCTATGGTCACCTCAACTACTTTTCTAAAGATGTATATTTTAAAATTTTCATGTGGATAAATAACCCCAAAGAATGTGTATATATGTATGTGGGGGGTACCATTAGTCTCTCATGTAGGATACTAAATTTAGATTAAATAACCAAGCAAAAACATAATAATGGTTTGCATTCCATAGTCCTATTAATAGCAACTCCAGATTTTTAAAAAAAAAATTTTAACCCTCCCAGTTTATCCATGTAATGACAGATCAAATTTTGGATATACAGTATTATATGCCTTTTACACAGGGGACTGGGGCATTATGTAGATTTTGGTATTGGTCCCAGAAACAATTCCCCAAGGATACCAAGAGAAAAAGGTATAACCAGGTGCTCTGAATTTATTTAAAAGTAAAGCATGACAATACCAGTGAAATCAACAGATAAATGACATGAGACTTCTTAACTAGTTAAGCACTAAAAGAAAACAAAAGGAAGAAAAACTTCTAAACAGGGACTTCCCTGGTGGTCTAGCGGCTAAGACTTCGAGTTTCCAGTGCAGCAGTCTGGGGTTCAATCCCTGGTCAGGGAACTACAGCCCACCTGCCACTAGTAAAGATCCCACGTGCCACAACTAATACCTGGTACAGCCAAAAAAAAAAAGAGAAAGATTCAGAACAAAAATGCCTAAGATAATAGTTATTCATTCATATGCTGAATGGAGATCTTCGACAAAAATTACCTAAGTAAAAATGTCATTTTATTACAACGTAATGTATGCTAAAAAATACTTGGTGTCTTTGGGAGAATGCTTTATATCTTACATAGATTGGGATCACGATGTAAAATGAGGCCTATTTAAATCATGTTTTATGTACTCACTTGTTTTTTCCCCTTATTACTATGAAATCTACTTCTTAAAAATAAAAAACCTTTTAACACCTGAATTAAAATTATTTGGGCTTTATAAAAAATATAAATCACCATTTTAATCACTATAATGTAAAGTGGACATCTATAACCTCAAGAGTACTAAAAACTAGTACTGGACTCTTTAAGAAAGAAGCAGCATTGGGAGACACTTCTTCACTGTAATATTTGTCAGTAACTTTTTTTTAAAAAAGTTAAATAATCTTTTGAAGGGCTAACAACTGTTTTTATATACTGAAGGTAACTGTGGATATGTTATCAAAATTATTTTTGCCATCTAATTTTAATAGAAAGAAAAACATTTTCTACTTGATTATCTTTGCAGCACTATACTCTGTGGCAAAAACTGACTTATCAGCAACAAAACACCTGTTGTGTAGGAAGTTTTGTATATATTTTCCTCTGCAAAGGTTAGTATGAAAAAGAGGAATTTGTAATGTAGCATATAGTTTCAGTTAAGAAGAAACTATAAAGAAAAAGGCAGGATGTGTTGCTTTCAAATGAACTTGAAGAGAGTTTGAATGATTCAAATTTTCCTCTAACAAAACGCCACAACAAAAAGATCTGTCTTTTTATATGTAGGGAAAAAAACAATTAATAGCCTGTTTGGTTAGAAACCTAAAGCTTTAAAGATTCCCATTACCTCACTTTGACAAGTTTTATTTTGTTTTGACAGTGCCACTTTAAACATTAGTGGAGAGACGTGAAATTGAATAGAGAAATAAATTCTTTAAGAAATTATTTTATACTGATTCAGAAATATGCAAATTTTTAAGCTATCTAAAATAGACAGCTAAGAATTCTGAGAAGTTATTTAGTTCTCAGGGTTTTACAGTTCATTTATCATTCTTTGGAGCTTTTTAAGAGCCAATTTAGCACATTCAGTCACAACCAGGCTTGGAAGTAAAATAAAATGCAGTCTATTTTAAGAATATGTACACAATATTGGAAGTGAAAGCAAACACATAAACATAAACACTAAAACATAAACTAGACTTGGGATTCTCTCTAGATTTCAGATATCCAAATTTATTTCCATGCCTCAACTAAGAGGGAAAACAAGGGGCACACAAAAATCTGCACAAAAAGGTTCATAAAACATTATTCATAAAAGCCAAAAACCTCCCCAAAAAGGCTATGTTCAAAATCATGGACAGAAAACAAAACGTAACTTTTAAATGTTAATGTGCAGTTATCAAACTTCAAAAACACAATCATGCATCCAAAAAAAAAACCACTCTAAGAACATCAAATTTTAAACAATCCTTATAGAAGTTTCATAAATTGCCTACATAAAACCTAAAATCAATAGGCTATATCAAAAATCAAGGGACCCAGAAGAGCCAAAATAATGTTGAAAAAGAAAAATAAAGTTGGAGCACTTGCACTTCCACATTTCAAACTTACTAGAAAGCTACAGTAATCAAAACAGTGTGGTACTAACATAAGGATAGAGAGAGATACCAATGAAAATCCAGAAATAAAACTCATGTATCTATTGTTAACTCATTTTTGACAAGAGTGCCAAAACTATCCAGTGGAAAAAGAATAGCCTTTTAAACAAATAATGCTGGAACAACTAAACCCACATACAAAGAATAAAAGTGTACCTCTTCCCAGCACTGTACACAAAAACTAACTTCAAATAAATGTAAGAACTAAAAACGTCATATAAAACCCACAGAAATAACACAGAAGTAAACCTCTGTGATCCTGGGTTAGGAAAGACTTCTTAGATATGACAACAAAAGCATAACAGATAACAGAAAAATTAGAAAAATTCAACCTCATCAAAATTCAAAACTTACGTGCTTCAAAGGACACCATTAAGAGTGAAAAAGACAACCCAAAGAATGGGAGATAATACTTACAAAATCATGTTACCTGCAAACCAAAACTACAATGAGATATTACTTCACACCCATCCACTACAATAAAAGACAGATAACAAGTGTAGGCCAGCATGTGAAAAAACTGGAACCCTCAGACATTGTTAGTGGGATCGTAAAATGGTGCAACTACTTTGGAAAATGTTTGGCTGTTCCTCAAAATATTCAACACAGAGTTACTATATGACCCAGCAATTCGACTCCCAAATGAAATGAAGACATGTGCCCACATAAAAACTTGTACAAAAATGTTCACAGCAGTATTATTCATAACAGCCAAAAAGCACAACCAAACAAATCTCTACCACTGATGAATGGCTAAATACAATACAACACACACACACACACACCCCCACACACATACATTATTTGACCATAAAACAGAATTAACTACTGTTAAATGCTACAGCCTGGGTGAACCCTGGAAACATGTTAATGAAAGAAGTTAATCATAAAGGACCACGTGTATGAACCTATTTATATGATTATGCCCAGAGTAGACAAATCTACATGGTAAGGTAAGATGACTGCTAATAAACACTGGTATCCTTCCTTAGATGAAGAAATTGATCTAAAAACGTGGTTGACGTCTGCACAATTCTATGAACATACGAAAAACCTTGAATTGTTCATTTAAATGAGTTGTATGGCAGGTGAACTGTACCTCAATAAAGTGTGGCTGATGTCTACACAGCTCTATGAGTATACGTTAAATCCTTTAATTGTTAAATGAGTTGTATAGCGGGTGAACTCTACCTCAATAAGGCTGTTTTTAAAAAAAAAATACAAAGCTGACGTCTAGTATTTGTGTCGCTTGTGGAAAACAAGGAACATTCAAGACGAATAACTACAAACTGATTTGATTACTAAGCAAATCCGTGGGTGAAATAATTAGAAATTAAGAATTTAAATCCTTCCTTATTCACTTTGTGCATACCACTCTAAATATTTCTACATCTTAACTAAAATGGAATTGTACCTCTTGCAACTGTCAAGCCATAAAATGGGATTCCTGAGACACCTGAGTACACATGTTCCTTTCCTGTACACGGCTGAACTCTACTCCCCAATACAACAAACAATAAGTGCGGAAAAACACTCCACAGGGAGACTGGGAAGTCTAAAACCAATACTGGGTTTAGAGGAGAGGTGTGGAAAGAATGAGGAAGGCGAAGGAGCCCAGGGAACAAGGGGAAGTATGGGTGCATTCAAGCCTAAGGAATCCAGTTACACTAAATTCAACTTTTGTACGCTTTGTGAACAGGCCCAGAGGCAAAGTCCTGGGCGCAGACCAACGAGTCGAGCTGCGAGGCCGAGAGGAAGTGCTGATCCAGCCCAAGTCCGCACGGGAATTCGTGGGGAAATGGTGGGGGGCCGAAGGGCTAAGATGGGGGCCTGCGGGACGGGAAGGAGGCGAGCCTCCCTGGCCGGCTCCGGGCCGCACTCGCCGGCAGCACGCAGCTGGGTGGCCGCGCCGCGGCCCCGTCGTCCGCGTCCGCACCGCGGAGCGCGCCCAGCGCCGGGAGTCTCCGGCGGGGCCGGCGGCCGGCTCCCGGCTCCGGTCTCCCGCCCCATCCGGCGCTTTGTCCCCGCGCGGGCGGCGGGCGGCCCCTCGGCGTCCCCGCCGCGGGCTGAGGGGCCGCGCTGACAGCCCCCGCCCCCCGCCGGGGAGGCGAGCCCGCGAGTCGGCGCGGCCGACGACCCGTCACCCGACGGGCTTCGTCCAGGCGGGACGCAGCAGGCGGCGGTCCGAGGACGCCGGCCCTGCCCGCGGAGCCGCCGCCACCGCCCGAAGCGCACGCAGGCCGAGGTCAGGCGGAGAAACTCTCGGCCTCCGAAACCCACACCGTGTCCAACATCCTTTTCTTACCCAAAAATTCTCAACGAAATGCGCCATGACCATCGTGCCGCTGCCGACGCCGCGCCGGGTTCCGCGTCCGCGCCCTCCCGCCGCTCCGTAAACACGGGCCCGGCCCCCACGGCGCCCCCGCCTTTCGCTGCAGCCGCCGCCTTCTTCCCGGAGACCTGCCCGCACCCTCCAGGGCGCATGCGCCACCTAGCGGCTGCCGCCGCGGGGCGAACCTTCAAACGCACAGGCTGCGTTGCGCATGCGCCCTAGGCCCCATTCCCGGGCTTTTCGTCCTCTTCCTCTCTTCCCAGCGCTGGCGCGTCGGAGAATGAGTATTCTTTTTGGAATGGTGGAGAACCCGGTCCCGGAGCATCACCCGGGAGACTGCCCGCACCCTTCGCTGTGCGATGGGTACTGGCATAGGGACGGGGCGAAGAGAAGGGCCGGCCAGAAACAGTGGAACCCACCGCCAGGCTGCCTTCTCTCTCCCTCCTCAGAAGACTCGCTTCCTGAGCTTTCGAGGATCTCAGGGAGGGACCCAAGTTGGGGCCAACTGGGGTGGGGGAAACTTGGCCTCTAGCCAACCGGAGAAGACTCTGAGAAATGGTCAACAGGGTGCCTTTCCTTGATAGGGAATTAAGAACCAAAACAACACTTTCCGAGGCCGGAAAAGGAGGAAACGCCCTGGAGCCAGAGAGCTGCCCGAGACCCAAGCACCAAGTCCGAGGCCGCTGACCTCCAGCACGCCCGGAGCAAACCGGCCGGGACTGCCGACTGCAAGAACGTGACCCGAAACCGACGGTTTTTCGTAACTCAGCCAGTTTTGTCTCTCTCTCTTTTCTTTCTTGCAGCACTTGTTCACGTAAGTCCATGGTTCTCTCAGCAACTTGTACATTTTGGAAAAAGAAACAAGTTCAGACACGCCTCGGCATTTAACAGAGACACCAAATCCCCTTCCCACGCCTTGCTTTCCAGAGGTTAAGGGGAAAAAAATTAAACCAGGTCAGTTAGGTCCAAAATATGCAGTTCTTGAAGCCAAGCCGGACAAACAGATTTAGTGTAGCTTTTTAACTGTACATGCATGGCACACCTCTTCAGATCTTGTGACTTCAAACACGCGGAACACTACACCACTATTTCTTCATGGCAAATAATTTACATCCTCAAAAGTAAGAACCACATAGTGCTTTTCACAAGGATGAAGCTGTGAAGGGTGGTTAAGTAGGGATCATTGGATAATGGTATTGTGATTATATCTTTTAGAAATAAATAGGATGTTATAAGACACCTAGGCTTCCCTGGTAGCTCAGTTGGTAAAGAATCCACCTGCAATGCAGGAGACCCCTGTTGGATTCCAGGGACTGGAAGATCCGCTGAAGAAGGGATGGGCTACCCACTCCAGTATTGTTGGGCTTCCCTCGTGGTTCAGCTGGTAAAAAAAATCCGGCTGCAATGTGGGAGACCTGGGTTCAATCCCTGGGTTGGGAAGATCCCCTGGAGAAGGAAACAGTTACCCATCCAGTATTCTGGCCTGGAGAATTTCATGGACTGTACAGTCCATGGGGTCGCAAAAAGTCAGACACGGCTGAGCGATTTTCACTTATAGAACACCTAGGATTTGCTTTAAAATGAGTCTTTGAGGGAGGAGGAATGGGTAGGGCTATAGAAGAAGTAAGACTGACCCTCAGTGGGTAATTCTTGGAGCTAAGCATTGGAAATGGGGTTCACTTTACTGTCCTCTTTTTGGTATATGCTTTATCCTTTCTTTAAAAAGTCTTCATAACACTATCATTTACACCTAGTTTTGGAGAAAGTCAAATTTAGAGGTTTGCTATAATTCTCTAAGCCAGTAGTCTAGCACTGTCTTTCTTGATGCTGAAGAAATTCTAAGAAAAATACAGCCATGTAGTGCACACATACTAAATAACTTAAGTCCTACTGGACTCTGCAATCCCAGAGGGGCTCCTCTGTCCATGGAATTCTCTGGGCAACATTACTGGAGTGTGTTGCCATACTCTCTTCCAGGGGATCTTCCCCAACCCAGGGACTGAACCCTGGGTCGCTTATGTCTCCTTCTTTGGTAGGTGGGTTCTTTACCACTAACACCATCTGGGAAGCTCACAGCCATCTAGACACCCTGCAGATGAGCATGGCATTAAATTCCCAGTTTCACTAACCACTACCACACTTAGACCTGGACAGGAGCGGCCCTTATCCTGGACCCCAGGCTTTAAAGGACCTTACATGTCATAAATTTATTAAAAACATGAGTGCCTCTCCTACAGATGCTGAACTCTGGCCCATAACTATCAGTACCCTCTCCCATGACCAGTACTATTCAGGCTCCCAGGAAACATTTTGGATCTCTTGCCCTTTATCTTCAAAACAAAAGGTAGAACTCCAAATGCAGTAAAAATTTGTGGGTGCTATAGCTGCCCATATCAGAGATAGAACTGCTTTGGAGTTAGGCAGAATCTGAGCAGCAGAAGCGCTTAGGTAAATCAGAAGACAAATTAGTTAACTTGTGAAGGCTTCCTCTCAGCTGAGTGCAATAAATACTTGCATTACAAAGTTGTTTTTTTGGTGGGTTTTTTTTTTTGCATAACAAAGTGGTGTCTAGTACAGATTTTCCTTGTTTTAGTGTTCCAGTTTATGATTCCAACACCAACAATTTTGCACAGTATTCAAAGAGTTGCACAAGGTACACTGACTTCCATTTCGTACTCTTCACACTGTTCCCATGTTTATCAGAGGCCATGAAGAGAAATCTTCTGTATATTTTGTGTATTTATTGATAAAAGATTCATCAGGCTCAAAACACCATGTGCTATAATCGCCTGGTATTTAAATTGTGGGACTTTATAGTAATTAGTGATTAAGGTCACTAATCTTCAGACAAGATGGTGTAGTAGAAGAATGTGGATAGCATTAACCACATTCTGACCTCAAGTGAGGTTTCCAAGGATGCAGAGTGTAGGTAAGGCCCTGAGCCAGTAGCCTCACTCATGCCTTCAGGTATTCGTGCCCCACACTCTTAAGCCTCACTTATCCAAACACACTCTGAAATTTTTTTTTTAATTATTAAATATGTAGATAACAACAGTGTTCCACTCACTCCTGCCTATAATACCCAGAACTTAATAGTCACTCAGTAACTGTTCAGTGCAAGAATAGATGAATGACTGAGCATATCACAATGTCAGGGTGGATGGGCTTTGGGTTTTCAGTAATTCCATTCTGATTTTAATAACTCATACTTTTAATTGTGCTAGATCTTAGAGCTTATAAAAATGTTGTTATTTAAGTTCCACTTGACTTAATTTCCTCACATTACTTTAAATATTTTCAAAATAATTTGGAGGGGCTTGAGTATACTTAAAGTATAAGCTACTTTTTTTTAAGCTACTTTTGTAATAAAAATAAAACTGAAATGATAATATTCAAGATTGGCTCTGGCAGGAGATCTTCTGTTGGGAAGGGGCTACTAAACAATTTAGCCTTCAATTTTGGGGTGACCCTCATCTCCAGAATCTTCTCCCTCTTAGGAGCTCTCTCTAATTATACCTGCTATCCATATGTTGGCTTCCAGGGGATGCTCCTGTTCACCATTAAATCTCTGGCTCAAGCAGTTATGTTACGAAAGTGAAAGTGAAGTTGCTCAGTGGTGTCCGACTCTTTGCAATCCCATGGACCCTCCATCCATGGAATTTTCCAGGCAAGAATACTGGAGTGGGCTGCCATTTCAAGTTATGTTATAGCCCCGCTAAAAAGAAACAACAAACCCAAAATGGAGTCATGGTGCATTTCATAGAGAATTTTTGGGAGACAGAAGGATGTTGGAAATTATGTGAGTTTTGGAGCCCAAGGGTTTCTGCCCTTGACCTCAGCCTGTGGGGGCTTTGGGCAGTGGTAACCTCGGCACTCGCAGGCTCACAGCCCTTGTAGAGGCTGGAGGATCTCAGTGTGGGGCTCCTTTACTAGTTTAATCCATTTCCCCAGCCCCAAGAGCCATAAGAATTGTTGGTGGTTTCCGACTGGGATCACACTGGGTTGATTTAAAAACTGGACTAGGTCCAATAAAAGCTACTGCTAATGGGGATTTTGGAAGCCAGAAAACCTAAAAAATTGGTGGCTATGGATTGAACATTTAAACATGTTACAGTGCTTGCCACCTCAAGAAAACTTCCATGATAAGTTGATTATGGAATAGATTGGTTGGATGCTAAGTTTCCCACCAGGCTCAAGAAAATTTCTGTGCAACAAGTTATGCTGTGAAACACCCCCACAGTTTCCAACATCACACGTTTCTCTCTTAGGCATTAGTTCAGCTCCACAAAACCCAAAGGCCTAGTTAAAGAAATGGCATCCTTTATATCCAGACCTTGTTACCAAACCAGGCTTACTTGCATGACTTGTAGCAAGCCATATGCTGAGATGCCAAGGTTTGTAGCAGAGAAAGAATTTATTCACAAGACAGCCAAGGGAGGAGATAGAACAAGTCTGAGATCTACCTCCCTGAAGGCAAGGGCCTTGAGATATCGATGGCATAAAGAAGCAAGGTGGTCTTAGGTGTAGGGAAAAGTGATTGGAGGTAGGGAAAAGGTGAGGTAGTAAGCCTCCTGGGCAGGTGTATTTGGGTTACATGCTTCTTTGTGGGATGCATATTCAAAATTGGAGATGATTAGCTTGATTCCAGGGTGGACTTTTCAGCCCTCTGACATCAAAATGTCATTTCATCCAATACCTGCACAGGCCCAGTTTTTGGGTCAGTGGTCCCAAACAACTTTACCCAACTTGAACTGGACAGGCTGACTCTGAGTTTCTAGGAAACAACTTAAGCCCCCATTGTAGTGACCTCATAGATTAGAGGTGTTATCTAAGTGGTTAAAATGTCTTGTAATATATTACCTAAGCTATGTGAAGCTTGGAGAGTATACATTTAAAGAAAGAATAAGAAAGAGGAATACCTAAAGCTAGCTTCATCACTAAAGGCGTGTTACAAGAAGAGGAGTTTTTAAACAAACTGTTCCTTTATCTGTTGTTTTGTAAGACACACTTAGGGATTTCTGTTAAGACATCAGCTTCTGTTAACCCTATGGGGCATGGTTTCAAGTTGAATGTGCTACCTTCTGGCAATCTACTTATTTTATATCTGAAAACTATGGTCCCAAAGCTATAAATACCTACAAAATTGGCAAGATCTTACTAAAGAGGATATAGAATTTCATCTCCTGAGAATCTGACTTGGTAATTGCCATCAGGCCGGGGGGGGGTGGTCCCAATATATGGCTGGACAGAGATGTGGATTGCACCCCGTTTGCAGCCAGATATGGCTGGACAAAAATGCAGGTTAAATTCTGTCTATGCCTGAGATCCTGCCAAACTGCTGCGAACTCTCAGGGGATTTACAATCTAGAATTATAATGGCCATTGTGAGCACTGTTCCACTTGGATAAGATTATTCAAAAAGTGCACTTTAAAGTAAGAATTCCCACATCAAACAGTAGAATAATTATTTTAATTTGTATATAGAAGCCTCCAAAAGGCTTTATAATTCCAAAAAAAATAGCTTCTTTAAAAGATTCACTGTTAGAGACTAATGAAAGATTAAAGATATTTGAGGTACCTAAAACAAAAGACTTTAAGACTGACATAACTCCTGCTCTCCCCGCTATACTCCTTTGAGTGCTCATTCTAGTCATCCTCTGTCTGAATTGTTTTTCCACTCTGAAAAGACTACATGACTACACACAAAACTCTGCCAAGTTAGTGACCTGACAAGCTCCCCTATATCTACCTTCAAAGGAGGGTCCCCATTTGGGCACTTCCCAAGGTTGTCTGGGACTCCAAGGGATTTTTCTGGTAAATTGCT